TACAAAACGCCATAATCTCCTTTTAAGGGAGTTCATCTCTTAAGAACTCCAAGTTAAGCGTGCTTGCAGGCTAAGGGAGTAGTCTTGAGATGAGTGACCTCTTTGGAAGTTTCTCAGGGCGCACACGAGTGAGGACAAAGTACATGTTAAAGGTTTGTGAATGTTTGTGAGAACAGTACTATATGTAGGTAGAGTAACTACCTCGGACCCTACAGGGCCGAGGTGTTACAGTCATAATATACATCATGATTTCATGATAGAGGTACTCTACTCATTCATCTTTAGATTGGAAAAAATTGCAGAATTTTGATTCTGCACCCCACTTTTTGTGTGATATTGGACTTTGTACTCTATTTTCAAAAAATTTAGACTTTGAACCCTATCATTCAACATTTTGTGAAGAAAATTTCTAAATGAAGTGCAAAGGCAAAGACTTTTTAAAGAAAATAGGATATAAAATCTAATTTTTTTTTTGAAAATGAAGTACAAAATCTAATATCACTCGAGAAATGAAATGCCCAAAAAAATTGCACTCGAATCCACTAAAAAACGGATCATATAGTACTCCCATCGATTAAAATGAAGGGAGATTTACCTAAATAGTACCAAAACATGGCTTTTTTCCCAAAATAGGACCAATTAGTTTAAACATTCTTAAATATGACTTTTTATGTGTGATTGGACCAAAATACCCCCACTGCTGCCCCTCCACCTCCGGTCAGCCGCCTGCCGCCAGAGCTCCGGCCACCGCCACCGCCACCGCCGCCGCCGGAGCACCGCCGGAAAATTCCAAAAAATGTTTGGCAGACTGCCAGATTCTGCCGCTGCCGCCACCCGCCGCCGCCGCCGCCGGAGCACCGCCGGAAAATTCAAAAAAAAAATATCTGGCAGACTGCCAGATTCTGCTGTCGCCGCCTCCGCCACCGCCGGAGTTCTCCGCCGCCGCAATGGTGTTTATCAGAATTTATTGTTTATTTATTGTCTACTTATTGTCTATTTATTGTCTATTTAATGTCTGTTATTTTCTTGCCGCCGCCGGAAACCGCCGCCACTGCCGCCGCCGCCACCGGAAATCGCCTCTTCCGCTGCCGCCGAGCTGCCGCCACCTCCAGACTGCCTTGGTTGTGCAAGGAAACTAGGGGGGGGCAATTATTTAGATCAATCAATTAATTAAATAGAATTAGGGGTAAAAAGGTAAGATTAGTCCTATTTAGAGAAAAACATGCATGTGGTCCTATTTTGAGAAAAAGGTTGAGTTTTAGTCCTTTATTGGACAATTTTCTCTAAAATGAAATCTCCGTAGTGGCTACGGCAACAAAATGTCTTTGACAGTTTGACTAGTTAATCCCCATGTCTTCCGTTGGTCGTGATTGAGGTGCTAAAATTATGGGACAATAATGGATTTATGTTTCTATGGCTCAATTTTAGTGTTCTACTTTTTTTGAAAAGCACTCATTTCATGGGTAGTCAGCGCGGGACCACATGTTAGATTTTTAGGCAATTAATAGGGGTGAGAAGAACCAAACTGAAACCCGAAAACTGACCCTGGTTTGGCCCGAATTGTGATACCGGTCCGGGTTTATTCTTTTTAACTGACCCGAATAAAAAAACCACACCGAACCCGAAATTTCGGTCTCATTAACGGGCCCTAAAATCTATAATCCGGCCCGAACTAGGAATGGACCCGAGCCGGGTCGGGCCCGGGCGGGCTTTTTTTGCAAATTCATGGGCCCGGAACCGGCCCGGGTTGATACCGGGTCCGGGCCTAATCGGGCCGGGCCGGGCCCGGTTCGATGTCTTTTTTTTTTTTGCTTTCTTTTTATCCCCCGACCCCCCCCCCCCTCACCCCCACCCCCCAAACCTCCCCAAAACACCCAGCCCTAGCCTAGGAAAAGAAAAAAATTGAAAAAAAAAAGACCCAGGCCCGGCCCGAACCGCCCGGGTCGGTTCGCCCAAAACTGGGCCCGAGCCCGGCCCGCCCGACCCACCCAAACGGGCTAAAAGCTCGGAACTGGCCAACCGGTCCCGGTCCGGTCCGGGCCCAAACAGTACCGGGCCGGTTCGGTTCCGGGCCGGTTCGGCCCGGCCCAGTCCATCCCTAGCCCGAACCGATAAAAACCCGAAACAATTATCTTTAATATAAAATCAATATAAAATATGAATATAATTTATAAATTAATTTCTAATATATGATTATAATCATGCTTTCCATCATTCGAAATGGAGCCAAAGACTCTATTTTTTGGCTTGGGAATATGATGGAATAAATCAAAATGTCTCACTAAATTGTCTGCGCTTCTTTGTTATGAAGCAACAATCAGTTCATGTAATTTTCGACGTGATTTTCACTCCGCAAACAGTCTCTTTGTGTTGTAGCACAAAGGTAAGACTGCGCACATTCGACCCCCCTCCCCCCTACCCCACCAGAGGTGGGAGCTTTTGCGGCACTAGGGTAATGATAATGATGATGATATGATTATAATCATGGTTGATGAAAAAATGACTAAGTAACTTTTAGCGACTACAAATATGTTCAGTTTATTTACCTTAATGACCATAAAAGTAGATTTATAGTAACTTTAATCACATTTTTATCCATAAATTTTATGTGGTATTTTGTAACATTTTTAGAAAATCTATATTATTTATTTATATGCATCTTAAACCAAATATTATGATAATTATCTTCTTTGGATTTGAAGTGTTGGTGATTTTGGAGACTAATATCTGTGTTATTATTTACGGTTTGTACTTTTCATTAATTTTATTTGAAAAATGTTTTAAAATATAAAAGCATTATGAGATGATTTCACATCCGGGCTTTAACCGGACCGAACCCGGGCTAAAAAAACCTGACTCGGACCGAATATAATGGACTTTGTTCTCGTCCCTAATTTTCATAACCCGAGACCTTACGGGTAATTTCCGGGTTTAGCAAAAACCCGAACCAGCCCGGACCAATCCCACCCCTAGCGATTAAGGTTTTCTTTTCACACAAAAATAACATGATAGAATAAAGGAAAACGACTCACTAAATTGTCCGCACTTCTTTGTTATGAAGCAAACGTCAATCTATATAATTTTTTACACGATTTTCACTGTGAATCATCTGAAAACAGTCTCTTTGTTCTTTAGTACACGGGTAAAACTAGTCATGGACTCGGGCCGGGTCGGGCCCGGTCGGGCCGCCGGTTTGTATGACATGGGCCCGGGACCGGCCCGAGGGTTGGACGGGTCCGGTTCGGGCCGGGCCACCCGCCAGGCCGGGCCGGGCCAGTTAAAGAATTTTTTTTTATAATTTATATTTTATAGTTTATAGTTTTATACATGTATTAAAAACAAACTTCAAGTGCATTTATTTGAAATGAAATAGGAACTACATTTGAAAATTAAAACAAACTTCAAGAGACAAACATTTTGTAAATTGTAATCAATCGGAACTTCCCGCACCTCCCGATCCTTTGGCTTTGTCACATGACTTCATATGCTTCATTGTCATCCTGTATCCACCTGAAACCCCCATGCTACATTTTTTCCCGCACCATTTGCAAGTTGCGTACCACATCCCGGTCTTCGGGTCCTTCTGCTTATCAAAATTATACCGTATAACGTCATCTTGACTTTTCATCTTAAAAAGTTAAAAATGGTAGATATAATAATCCTACAATAGATGGAGATGAAGATGGAGAGTGGAGAATGGAGATTAGAGATTGGAGAAGATGTGTATAAAAATGTTAGAAAATAAGAGTATTTATAGAATTAGAGAGTAGAGAGTTAAGAATAGGATTTAGGAAGAATTGGAGAAGAGATGAAAAAATGTTTAAGATTAGGAGTATTTATAGGTTCCCCCCCCCCCACCCCCCCCACCCCCCAAACCCCCCGGACCCCCCTGCACCCCACCCAACGGCTATATAGCTGTTTGGGTTGTCCCCAGCCCACCCCCAACGGCTACTTTGGCCAAAACAAAATTTTTTTAAAAAAAAAAATTGGATCGTTGGACCCGGACCCGGGCCCGACCCGGCCGGGCCGGGTCAACTTTTTCCGGAACCGAGCCCGCCCCGCCCCGCCCCACCGGTTCGGGTCTACACCCGGTCCCGGATCGCCAAACCGGGCCGGTCCCGGGCCCACACAGTAGCGGGCCGGGCCGGGTCACGGGCCAGGTGGCCCGAACCGAATCCACCCCTAGGTAAAACTGCGTACATTCAACTCCCTTATTCCACCATAGGTGAAAGCCTTTGCGGCATGATGATGATGACGAGAAGAAAAATAATAATACCTAGTCATCCAAAAAAATCACGCAGATAAGATCGTTATTACAAACATTTATAAGTTCAGAAATTGCATACTCCATAATAAACACTATAATTCCATTCACTGGCGGAGCCAGAAAAATGACTCAGGAGGTCAAAACTCAACCTATATACAGAATGAAAATGGTGGATCGTCATTTTTAAAAAATGTCCGAGTTGAATATTTCATATGCATTTTAGATAAATAGGCACTCGTAGCAATAAGATAGATTGTCTTTGCTCTGTTTTCTGAGTCGTGTCACGTAAGTATTGAGTGAATTATACCCTATTTTTAAAATTTGGGAAAATAATTTATAGTGTGCATCAACTTTTGTTGATTTTACATTTAGATAGTTCTGATTTTCCAGAAGTCATAAGTTTTTACTCGTAATGAGTTACGGGAGCCATAATATATCAAATCGAAGATATTTCAGAACTCTATACTCTCAAACTTTCAGCGGGGTCGGCTGACCACCTTGACCCCTTGGCTCCGCCCCTGATTCCATTAAAATTTGGCATGACACTGTTCTACAACAGTAACACTGGCAATGATCTAATAAATTGACTGAGATCAAATTAAAGTAGTCGTAGAATGGGAGGACTGTGATTAAAAGAATGGTAGTAAAAAAGTAAAGCACAGTCAAAAGGAAAAAGGAGAAAATGAAAACAAAGAAATTAGCATGGATAAGATCTAGTATACAAATCACATAGGCCGGTTTTAATTTGGTACTACTTAAACACGCAGTAAATTAAATAAAACAGTAAAACACCTTATTGCATTATATTGCTACCATATATATCATCTCAAGATTAGATTACTTACAGAAACATATCAGTAATTCAGTATTAGTGTTACTGTTATTAGAACCTAATTAAGCACTGTTGCTCTATATAGGTAGATTAACCATGAAAACTACTACCTCTCCTGCCCTGATAATTATCTTCCTCTTTTCAGCACTACAACTCCCTGCAGTTCTCAACTCAATCAGGCCGCCGCCTTGCACCGCCCCCACCCCCGCCGCCAGATCATTCATCAATGAAAGCTGTTATTCAGCACAGAACCTGGACTCAAATGCATGCTACCAATGGCTTTCCTCCCACGTCGTTGAAACGGAGCAGCCGAGGGTCAACAAGCTGGTCAAGGCGGCCATAAATCTCACCATGGAAGAAATCACATCATCCGTAATCCCGAAAATTAACACATTGTATGAAAAGAAAGGCAAGGCCCTTGTGAATAAAGATAAAAGTATAGCGCGCACTTGCTTGGAGATGATGGACGACTCCAGAGGCGGAATGAAGGACACGCTGGATCAGATGTATAATCTCAAGCCAAATGATTTGCTGTTTCAGATTAGCAACCTGCAGACGTGGATGAGCGCCGCGCTTACGAATGTAGACACATGTTTGGATGACGATGAAACCCCTTCTGTGTCGGATAATGACCTAAGGTCCTTGCTGATGAATTCAGTCGGGAACGTTCAAAAGCATACCGTCATCGCCCTCTCTTTGATCAACTACTTTGCCTCCAAGTGTTACTCAGACCTAGCCCCGGCCCCAGCCCCGGCCGCCACACATTGATCGAGGGCCGTGTTCACAATAAAAATGGAGGCCCCGCCATATGATACAAAACATAATGGCTCTACATTGTCCCAAATCAAGTAAAAAGTAAGAATAGTTTTGATATTTTCCATGGAAAAATTATTTTTTATGGAAATAGTATGTTTATTTTGGGACTCTCAAAAAAGAAAGTGGGAAGTTGTTTTGGAGATGGAGGTAGTATTACATATCACTATGTATATCTGTTACTTTATGTTTACTTTTTTTTTATTGTTTGCATTTACAAATTCATATTTTCTAATTCCAGGAGCCATAATTAATAAACTCAAAAGAAAACAAAGAAAACAAGTAATTAAAAGCAAAAAAAAAGTTGGAACAGAATAGCCTTATTCTCAAGCCTCAATGCTGCACCGTTGAACTATGGCCTCTAAGTCGTCTCTAACTCTATTGGTCTCTACTTCTCTAACTATGCTTCTGCCATGGCTGTCTGACTGTCTAGTCAAGACTTAATTGGAATTAAGTGAACCCAGAAGCCTATTTGCCTTTCATCCGCATGTTTAATATGTGTCTCAGTGTCTCTCTTAGTCTCTCTATTAACTTGATTCCCTAAAGAAATAAGAGAAAAGAGGCAAATAAGCTTTCAAACTATTTGCGATTCTACGATCAGGCCCTTGAACTGGAAGACTTGCAGATACACCTCTCAATTCGTTGAAAATTATGCAATGAGATCCGTTTTTACCTACTGGTGCAGGTAATAAGATGAGAAATCACCAGCACCAACACGTAAAAGGTTCTGATTACCTACCTTTTCAAGTAAGGATTTAATTAAAATAATGTGGTAGATGAATATATAGACAGTTTTGGATTGTAAAGAAAGTTAGATTGATGGAGTGAAATAGCAAATACAGAGTTTTGATATAAAATGATTGTAAATTTGATTTATTGATGAAGTATGATTCCAAGTAGCCTTAAGAATAGATTATTTGGTGTAAGTTATCTTACTCGAACATGGTTAAGAAGTTATAAAATAGTTTCATTTGGTCAAATTTGAGGGTCGAAACAACTAATTTGATTGTGATTTTAATAGTGATGACTGATGAGAATACAACAACAACATCCAAGCCTTAGTCCCAAAAGATATTGGGGTCGGCTCTCATGAATCGATACATGATATCACAACCAAAAGGAAAAGAAGGAATAAAGATAAAAAGATAAGCTATTATGAAAAGATAATATAAAAAAAAGATGAATATATATATAAATGATAAAATAAAAAGGTTGCAAATAATGAAATATCAATGTCTAACATTAAATATTCTTTTTCTATGTGAGTAATGCCGACCACATTGACTCCCCACACCAAACAAAGTCGGGCCCCGGATCTTCATTAAAATGTCCAATATACCTCCTTGAACCACAGTATCCTCATGTTGATGAAGTGCTTGTATATGTCCCTTGAACCATTATGCCAAATCCTTTCACCAAAAGCACTACGAATCACTACAGTTCTTTTTACCTGGAATTAGTGCAGAGAAAATAAAACATTAACATATATTCTTCCAACCATGAAGGATACATAAAAAATCTAGCAACAAAACCCCATGAAAATGGGGGAAAGCAATATTTCATCAACCTGGACATAGGTTGTCTTATCATCAATTTTTTTAATATATCATTCACAATTTCAGATGATTCCTCCATTCCTCAACCTATCCCTACAGGCTGAAACAACCCAATTTCTTCCCATGCACCACTTCTCATGCTATTCCCACGCTCATGTGCACCATTTCTCATCCCTTTGTTTCAACGATCCCGCCAAACCAAATACAATATAATATTTTCCCACTTTCTATTGAAAAAAAGAATAATTAAGAAAATATTTCAGTTGATGTACTTGAGATGTTTTTGGTGTGAAGAAGAAATAACACTTGACATTAGGATTGGATTTCTTCGCTTAACACAAAACGACGAATTTTTTGAGTGGAAAATGACAGTTTATTACTATCGCATATTGCAAGAATATGTGCATAGTACATACATCATCAACTAAACTCGATGAATCTGAATCACTAAAGGAGCAAATTAAACCTAAAAGAGAGAATTGTGCATACTCAAATTTATTCTTCCATGCTTATCGTTTGAATGAAGTTTCATAAGATAAGTGCTCCTTTCAATAGATATTTCCTCATCTATGTTTGGATCAACTCTACCTTCACATTTTTCTAGACTATCTGCTACTGTAAATATAATAATAATTCCCTGTAAGAAAAACAAAAACACGAAAACAAGTCAATCAAGTAAATAAAGTATTAGATAAGAGGATAATGAAATCAATCAATCAAACAATGAATAATCTGCAAATGCATACCACCTGTAGCAAGTCCCGATCACCCAGTGGATGGAAAAACATTCTTATCCGTCTCAATCATACTGTAGTCTGTACCCATGGACCTTCCCAAGACCAATCCTACGCATTTTTACCTAACACTCTTGCATTCCCTCCACTCCCCTCTCTGCATATACATTGCTTAACAATGTATCCACTATCCCGTCTGTACATTCAAAAGGTTCTCCTGAAAGCTTCTGATGATATATGTATTGTGGCGGATTCTACACCCATTTATTAGTGAACCCCAGATGCTAGCATCCACATGGGATTGCATTGATTTGATAATCTCATATGCTCCTTCTATATCGCCTGCCCGACTAAGAAGATCCACTAGTCATGCAATTGGTTTTTGGCTCAATAGCGAACCAAACATGGCCTTAAAATAATACTTCCCTTCATTCACATACCCAGTGTGAATACAAGCAGAGAGAATACTCATGAAAATGACATCATTTGGCCTTATTCCAGAAGCTACCATTTGCGTAAAGAGTGATATTGTGGCATTGATATGACCATGCATGCCATAACCGCCTATCATCGCACTCCATGAGATTATACTTTTCTCGGCAATTCTCTCAAAAACCTGTTGAACCGTTCGAAGGTCTCCACATTTAGCATACATGTCTATCAGAGTTGTGTTGACGTACAAATCGTACTTCACTAGACCAAAGACGATCAGCTTATCATGAATCCATAGGGTATAGATATAAACTAGTAGATGAAGATGAGAGTTACGCATGATAAACTAGTAGTATAGATATAAATGTTTGGATTGTATACAGTATATAAGAAGAAGCAGATGCTGAAAAAAAGAAGAAAGAGAATGGAACAATGAAGAGAACTGCACATGATAGACCACTATACTGGTAGTTTACATATATGTATTTGACTTGTATAGAGTTTATAAGAACAAGTAAATGCTGAAAAAAGAAAAAACAAAGAAAATGGAACAATGAAAGAGAAGAAAACTTACTGCCATTGATCGTTGAGTGCTGCCAGCTTATGCGGTTGATGTGGGGGAGGTAACGAACACTGAGGTAACGTGAGTAGAGTAGAGCAGAGCAGGAGAGTTGAAGTAGTGAACTTAAATATGGGCTTTTTATTTAAAATAGTATGAAATTTAAATATTAGGCTTAAACATGTGTTTCCAATTCAGGCGAGAATAGCGAGCGCTTTTTAGCGCTTCTGCGCCTAACCGGCACCTTACACAGGGAGCTGCGCCTGGTCGTTGTTCAGTCACTAGGGCTGGTGCGTGCTGCGCCTGGTGCGCTTAAGCGCCCAGGCGCATGCTTTTGACTACACTGCACCAACCATGAATTGTCCATGCTCATTTCCAAGAAATGATCCTCTAACAGCCCTATTATTAATAAAGATCTGGGTTATCTACTCGGGAAGTACTCGCAACTAGGGTACTGCCGTACTGGCCTTGCCGAGTAGCTACCTGACTCGGTCCATGTTTTATTTCTGAGTTACTCACCGAGTACTCGGCGAGTTTCTCAACTCGGTGAAGTTTTCAACTCACCGAGTTACTCGTTCTTACTCAGTCCCTTATAAAATTGAAAATCTATGTTACAAAACCTAGGTTAAACGGAGTTCCAGACATCGGCTAGCCTCATAGAGCTGCGACTACAGTCTCTCAATAAGTTCTAATCTTCTTTCTCGTATCTTCTCATCTTCCCTCGTTTCATCTTTTTTCCCCCTACCGTCTTTCTTCACCAGTTGTTCTTTTCCGTGTTCTTAAAATATCACCATCTTGATTGTTTAATATTGATACACACATATATGGTGATATAAAGAAATTCTTTTCACCAGTATGACTATATATATTATACTACGTAACTTTTAATTAATATCACTATATTGATCGTGTACTATGGCACATCATTGATCGATACACACTGACACACATCATCTAATTGGCAGTCATGAACTTTGCTCAGTCTGCTAAGGCTTCTAATTAATGGTGCTGAATCTGCTAATACTACCTACACTTAAGAGAAAATCAAATGATGTAGGATGGCCATGGGGAGAGAACAGAGATCCTACCAAATTATTAGACGATTGATTTTCTTGAAAGCTTGGAATGTTTATGACTTTTGCCACTCCATCATTAGGATTTCTATCATTTTATTCATTTACTACTCACTACTCGGCCCTTGATCGAGTTACTATCGAGTAGTGAGTTAACTACCTAGATAAAGATTGCTTTCACACTAAGTTTTAGATATGCTTCTTTCGTCTAATATATTCAACCACACTAATTCTTAGCCTTCATGTTTGAAAGATAGGAGGAAGAAACTCTGCAATCTTGTGCAGTTGTGCTCCTATTGTTTCACGGTTTTCACAAAATTCCTTTGGAATATCCCAGTAGATTATAACCAACTATTTCTTTTCTCAGCGAATCATTGGCAGCATTTTCGAGTGCAACAATACCATCAAATGTGACTCCCATTATCATTTGAAGGAATGACATATGCTAGAAGTTTAGCCCAAAAACATGAGAGTTCAAAGTTGAAAAAAGGATTTCAACTCTAATATAATAGATAAACATCAAAGTTTAAATTCAGAAGATAATTCAATAGATACTCCTAGTGTTTTTTTATTACTTAAGGGAATAAAATTTAAACTGAAGTACTGAACTCGGATAGTAAAACACCACTTCATCATTAGTTGCCATTACTATATTCTAATATCAAGACACTTAAGAGAAGAAAATGATAAAAGGAAAAGAAGCAATCACATTACTCTTAAACCATTAGCACTACTCATTTTAAATAAGTTATATACTTATATAATCAAGTAATTTATGGTAATAAATAGTGCATCATAGCCAAAGTTTGGAATAATGGAAAATCGCTATTTTACAGGTTGGGATAAAAAAATATCACCTCATCAAGTTAGTTTACAGATTGGAAGTCTTACGAATCAAAGTAAAAATTGAATAACTTTCACCCCTAAAGTGAACTTTCATTAGGAGTCTATACATTAACTTGAACAATTGATGGCTTTTTTGTTTACACCCAGGACGAGACCAAGTTCTTCAATTTAAAACATCCATAATACCAAGAATCCAACATCGATATATATCTAATAGAAAATAAAACTCATTTTGTATTCATTAGAAACCTATTATGAGTTAATTATTTCAGCAATAATAACTGAATATATTCATGTAGATGCTTCTTATAAAACTAAAATAGACGGAATCATAGTATACTAAAAGCTGAAGCAATATTTAAGCTAGCTTCTTGGCCAGAATGTTATAATAAATAACATACAAATTTATTATTAACAAGCATTTAAGCATACTGCAAAAACATGCTACCCCTCTTATATGTCTAGTTACATGTAAACAGTCTTGCTTACCTTGAAAAACTAAAAAAGGATGCTGAAAGATGTTTTTACTTTTTCCCGTCTATCTTAAAACCGGCCTGGTGCACATTGGCGTCCCCACAAGGTGAGGGTTCGGGAAAGGGTACCACCACAAAGGTCTGCCTCAAAAACAATAACAAAATCCAAACTGTGTTCTTCTGGCTTAACTCATGCCAGAAGATCCTCAAAAGGTAATCAAATTCATATAGAAATATGCAACTGAAGCAACTATAATTAACAACAGACCAAACCAGATGTCACCATATTCACTATTTTGTATACATCAGCTCATCCAACACCAAACATAAAACTCAAATCCAAAAATATGACATAGACATTATGTTGTCTAATTTGAGAAACAGTTACCAGCCATCAGATAAAGGTGTCTCCTACAAGGCTACAAGTAATTGCATCTTTTTTCACCAACGCTCTCTGGGCCGACCATCAGGGAAAACAGGTATGGCAAGAACCTCCTCATCCTTCCTCTTTGGTTCGTAAATCATTGTGACTGGTTTTACACTTTCCGGGTTTATAAGTTCACCATCATCATCAGTAAAGTCAGGGGGCAAATCATCATCACCGTCATCGCTCCACTCACCTTCATCAGGGTAATCTTCATTATCATCTTCATTTTCATCTTCATCATCAAATCCATCACTCACTAAATTTTCAATGCCTGACTCCTCTCCACCATCCCATTTACTTTTAGTTTTACTACTTTTATTACTACTATTATCATTATCATTATCAAAGCTTCTCCTAATAGACCGTTCAACAGAAACAAGAGAACGCATCTTTTCCTTTATGAGCAATAATCTATCCTTCTCTATTAATTGAGAATTGTGATATGCTTCGCGGAGAAAGACGGAGTCCCTAGTCCCTTTTAGAGAGACATAGAACATGTCGGGGTGCCTGATCAACATCCCTCTCAGCTGCTGAGAAAACCGAAACTCCTCGCGAAAATGAGTGAGATGGTCAATGAGGGTGCGTTTCTCCACCGTGAGGCTCAATATCTCATGCACCACGCTGCATGCATGCTTTTCTTTCTCCAGGGTGCCGGAATTGTACATGGAGAAGCTGGAGTATGGCGAAATGTAAGGCATATCTCTGAACTGACATATTCTTCTCATGTCCCCCTTAGAGAGATTAAGACCCTTGGGCAACTTCACTCTATCAAACTTTGGCAATCTATTGATGATCAAATTCCTCTCTTCCCTTTCGTGTTGGCGCCTCTCCTCATCCTCAAGCTCAGCCACGGACACAGCAAGCTCTGGATCCCAATCAGTCAACTCCAAAGCCGGGCCCCGTCCGGTTTCAACCACCTTGAAGTATTGCGGGTATCTGACACAAATCGTGTCACGGAACTCTAAAGGAAGCCCCAAATCAGTCTTCAAATGTGCAATCTTCTCCAAGAGGATCCGCTTATCTAGAGACATCATTAGTAGTTTCCTAAGCTTAATCACCAACAAATCCTCCATCGCATTCCTAGCTTGCATCTCCTCTAAATACAGTCTCTCTGCCTCTGGGGTTAGCTTAAACTTCAGAGAATAAGCACCTTCTTCTACTACCTCAAATACAGCAGGGAACTTTTTCAACAGAGCAATGAATCTTCTTTTTTTATCGAGGCCCAATGCTTTCCTGTACCTACCTAATTCGCGGAGTGCCATGATTCTGTTGGGTTGGCTCATCAGAAGCTTCCTGATTTTTAAAACAAGTTTCAGTTTCTTTTCCCTTTGAATCACATTATCAAACGGGATCTCTTTCCTCCTCTTCACAGCAGCAGCTCTGATGGGAAGGATGGGGAAACGGGTTTTCCTCAAGTTATCACCGAAGGGTTCAGTCTTTCCTTCAAAAAAACCCAAGCTTTTTCCGACGAACCAAGTCATCCGTAAGTGTTGTTTACTTACAGAGAGATGTGAAGCCGATGGAAGGTTTGATTTTTGATGTAGTGAGCACTTATATGAGAGGAAGACAGGCCAAACACCATAACACGACGTCATTTTTAGTGAAGATAAAAAAAAGGTTGGGTTCCAAGGAAGCCTTCAATTGAAATGATTACTGCATCAGATAACCAAACTACAAGTAAGATCCCCAGAGGCAAATCTGCGATATTCACAAACTCAATTTCCCGAACTTGCAGGTCGAGCAGATGACGATTGGATACAGATAGTTAGGGTTTATCGGCAATGAAGAAGTCAGTCAGAACGATGAAAAGGAAGAAAAAAACAATTAAACTTTTAAAAATGGAGGATAGCAGTCTAGCAGAGACTCCCGTATTTCTCTGGTTCTTGATAACTTTGATAAATATGACTAAAGAATAAGTATTTGTGACACTCATATCTTGTTATTTGTTTATATGTTTAGAGCGTAATATATCTCGTTGGAAAGATAGATCAGACAAGTTTTAGAACTCGGTAAGATGTTTTTAACGAGATATAAAACGCTTTCAACGGCACAAAATAGAGCAAGAACTATATAGATACATCCGGTATTTTTTTAAATAAACCAAATTCAAACTTGTGAGTGACTATGTTCTTTTCATCATTTTCGTCTTCACCAACCATCCTCTTTTCTTTTCTCTTTCCTTCTTTTCTTCCGCTGCCTTCCTCTTTTCTTTTCTTCCGCCGTCTTCCACTTTTCCTTTTTTTCTTCCGCCACCTTCCACTTTTCATTTCTTTCTTTTGCCGTCATCAATTCTGATCGTTATGTTTACTCTTACTATTTTTTTGTTTTTTTATTTTCTTACTTTTTTAGTGGTTCTGATTGTTAGGTTTTTTGTCTTTTTGTTTTTTATTTTCTTTACTTTTTTTAGTGGTTGATTTCACTTTCTTTGAGTTTGTCTTTTTCTTTTACTTTCTTTACTTATTTTCTTTGGTTTTTTACTTCTTTTCCTTTCTTCATTTGTTTTACCTCTTTCTCTGTTTCATATATTATACCGAGCACATTAGAAATGAGTTTTACCTTAAACTGAAATGAGTAAAATGCTTAACATACACAAATGAACTTTTAAATTTTTGAATACTCATTTTGTAACTTATGTATGTTCATTTAGTATCTCTGTTATGCTCATTTTTGAAATGTTTTAGCAATGCACATTTCAAAAGTCTCATATTACATTAGATTTATATAAGAGCTGATTATAAACACGAGACAACAAATCATGATACTCAATCACAGATTCTAATACTCAATAACGGAGGCTTGATGCTTACTGAAAATGTCTTGATGCTCAACTAAAAAAGCAACTAACAAATTCATTAATACTAATTTTGTAAGTTACGTATGTTAATCTGAGACCGATCATATGCTCATTTTATAAATGTCATATCAATGCATTTTAAAAGTACTACAGAGTATTTTATATTAGACTTCTAATACTCAATATAATAGGTTTGATGCTCATTAAAAGTTCATTATTACTCATTCTCTCAGAAGTCGTGATTTTCATCTCAATAGTGGAAGTTGATGCTCATTTAAAATGTCATGATGTTGAACTAACAAACCTTACAATTTTCATATAATGTACACTTTGTAAGTTATGTATGCTCATTTTGTATTAATGTTATGCTCATTTTTAAAATGTCATATCAATACATGTTCCAAAAGTATCATATTACATTAGACTCGCATATTGAAATTAATAGGAGTAGATTATAGATAAAATTTAATAAGTTTTTATAAAAGAAAAAATAACAAAAAAAAAGAATTAGAAGATGTGAAACAGAGATCGTGATACTCATAATTTGCTTTCTAATACTCAATAAAATAGGTCAAATGCTCATTAAAAGTACATTATTGCTCATTTAGCAGGAGACGTGATTTTTCGCTTAAATTACAAAAATGACACCATTAAAATAATTGGCCCCTTTGCTTGTTTTCCACTCCGGACCTGTTGTTTATGGGGTTTGCTCGTTAATAATTGTGGGCCTCCATTATATTCATTAAATTTCATTTAAATTGGGTTGAAGCTTTAAAAAGTTAAAAAATACCCGGATGTACGGTTCCCACCCGTACACCCGGGTGTACTATATACCAACTGCTTCAATTAGAGTAGAAATACAATTAAGTTCTCATAATGTGAAAATATTCAATTAAATTCATAAACTATTAAAAATGATCGAAATGACAATGTAACCAGTGAATAATCAATAACCGTTTGGGAAATTTTATAGTGCGCATATATCAAATTTTATTCTGGAATCGGCGTAGGGTGAGGGACTTACTCAAAAAATTGTTATTATTATCATGTTTAAAACAACATTTAATGATTAAAATAACACTTATAATTCAAAAATCACATTGTATAATTCGAAATCACGTTTACATCTACAAAATATTTCTAAATTCTAGATAATATGCATCTCCATATAAGAGCAATATGTCAATATTCCTTTCAAAAACCTCCGTTCAATAGTAATTCATCATAAATCATGTTATCGTGGTAATTCTAAATACTTGCCTCACTTTAAGATAATGAACTTTAATTTATTAAAAGTGGTGATTTTTGAAATTATAAGCTTAATTGAATTTTATATAATTGATAGAATTGCATTGAAGCTATAGATGGAACTCACATCGAAGCGAAGATTCCGATTAATAGAATAGTACTACCTCCGTCCCGCTATGATTGTCTCGTTTTACTTTATCGGTCCGTCCCACTAAGATTGTATCATACCAAATTTGGCAAAGTTTGTGTGACTCTAAATCATTCTTAATTTATTCTTACTTTATCAATTCAATATCAACCACATAAACCACTTTTTATTGATTTGTGTGTCCCTCCCTCTTGTCCCATTGTTAGTGGGACGGAGGGAGTATGTCTTTAGGCTTCGTAGGAATGTCTTAGATAGGTGGGTATTTAGGTGAATATTTAAGGTAATCAAAATGCAAGAATAAACCACAAATAAGTGCAAGTGAATCCAAACCTATTCCAGCTAATAGACCGATTACAACACAATTGCCGAAATGGAATATCGACCCTTTATGCAGTGCTAACAACTATTGGAAAAGTTAAAGAAAAGTATATTCTTAAGAATATAAAGTTGTCAACCTCTTACAATGAAATAATGATAATATTTATACTACAAGTGAGTAGGTGAATTGAATGACGTGGCCGGCCCTGAGTGAATGAGTCCCCACCATAAAATCACTTATATCCAATGCATTAAATGCGCTTCCGCCAAGTCTAGTATTTCCCGCCAACTGCCTTAGACCGTTCCGCCATGATCAGGTTGTTGGAGTGAGGAAGGAAAGCCAAGTGAAGATAAAGGGACGTATGGCACTGGGCATGCGGTGGAACCCGTGCGGTTATTTCGTGCTGGAGATATTTGCTGACGGTCCACGTGAGATCTAGGCTTTTAGGAATATTTCGGCCTGCATTGAGTCGGACCTAATATCCCAACAGAAGGGTTATGCAACACAAAATGTTATGATTGCTTGTGATTTTGACAAGTGTTTCATTTTTGTGATGCCTCAATTTGAATGGAAATGTATTATTATGTTTTGTAATTATACATGGATTTGTTTGATTATGGATAAATACCAACACATTTTTATCACCATATATAAAGTAGAAAAGTATTACTTGCCCGAATTCAAAAACAACCATTCTTGATGAACACACCCTTGTACACACCTTATACACACCATGTTTGTGAAGCTTTTTTTTTTGTCTGTGAATCCGGTTCACAGACAATATTTTGTTTGTGCGAAAAATTGTCTATGAATCGATGTTCACAGACAAAAAAAAAGCTTTCACAGACATATGTGTGTACAAAAGTGTGTATAAGAGTGTGTACAAACATCATTTTTGTTTCAAAAATATTAGTTCTTTAAAAATCAATGTCAAGCATTCAATCACTTACATTCTTCATTGCGCTTAGTTATTAAATGATCATTTGATGTTGGGAAAAATAAATTTGAAATCATGTTTTCAAAATAAATTTGAAAACATGCATGTCAAATATCTCTAATTCCTGCGATAATGGTAATTTATAATTTTGTTCGAAAGAATTGTGCTATAGATGATTTTGTTGAGGCCGAGAATGATGAAAGTGAAGCGGACTTAGACTAGCAAGATGAGAAATGAGATGAGGTCAAATTAGATAAAGGTGATGGTTTATTGAACAAGTTGAGAAATGACATATGTAATTCAAGGTAGGGCTACGATTAAGTATTTGAACTCAAGTTTATAATATCTTTATATGTGGATTTAACTTTCTTGCTTAATTGTATGAGTTTTGAAAATGTTACAAGTTTAAATATGTTGGTTCATATAGTAAATGTAAACCTAATAATAATAATAATAGTAATAATAATGAATTATTAAGATAATTCGTTTTTTTCTTTAATTTCAATTAGTTTAGATGTAGGTTGTAATAGATTTATTGTGTCAAGACTCAAGAGAAAACATTTAAAGACATTGAAGTAATTCACCAAATATGCAATATAAGATATTTTTCAACTAAATAAACTAATGTTACATACATACATACATTTCATTAATCTTAACCAAACACAAATGAGAATAAATTGAATACGATCAATGTAATATACCCAACAATCTAACATTGTCATAGTAATCCGACATTCCTTAAACCAGAGGAGCCCTAAAATCTATCACAATTACACTCACCCAAGCTCTCAGGCTGGCCTAATCTATCAGTCCCGCCTTGCAACCGTATTTTGATCCGATCTCTCAGAGTCTCAGGCTCTGCTACAGTTGGGTATTCAAACTCTCTCTGTCTCATCATCCAACCATGAACCATCCCCACCAGATAGCCCAACCAATCAAGAACCAAGAACTAGTAATCGTTCCAATCAATAGAATTTGCCTTGCCGACCAAGACCGCCGATCTCCATTTTCGTTGGAGGAGAACAACCGCACCTGGTGGCTCATCCACCGCAACTCATGGCCCAAGTACTATAAACAACGGCATGTTGGTATCCTGTAAAATCATTAGAAAATATTTATATGAAGAGTATAATAAATTCAAAGGGTTATTGATTATATTTATCTTTCTATATACAATCTCTGGTATATTAGATATTTCTTTAATAAATTTCACATAAGTTAACTACTGTCTTTTTCCCAAACAATAACAAAGGAGTACAAATCATAGATACGGTGCTACGGACGAATTAGAATATGGCTAAGAAATTAGGCTAATTGTTCGAATATTGAAATGTAGAATGTTCTTGAATTAAATGCATTTACATACATACTAATAGCTCTAGAAAGGTTTGTATAATGAGTAAAAACGCAGAACGCGTCTTCACACCTAAGCGACGCGTAAATTCGCCTAAGCTTCTATGGCTCAAGGCTTAGTCGTGTACTCATATTGCATCGTCACGCCTTACGTCTTATAGGACACTAGTGATAATGTTTATCATTAATCTTGTTTTTGAGTTTGTACTCTAATCAAGTGCTCCTTACATATGATAGTTCAATAAGGGATTGCCTTAAAAAGAGTAAAACAATATGATTTCTTTAATTGCCGTAAAAGGGTTTTTTTTCCTCTAAATGGGAGTAAGATTTGTCATCCCGAATGACACAAATAAAGTTATATTAATGCTTGATAGTGTCATAATACACATTATGATTTCATGATAGAAATATTTTACTCATTCATATTTAGATGGAAAAAAGCATTGCACTCCTATTCAGGGAAACTACCTTAGTTTTACTTCTATTTTGAAAATTTCTCAACTCCCTTTTGAATGACTTAAATATTGAAGTTAGCAAATCTTTTTTTAACTTTACTTTACTCACATTGATGTCTGTTTCAGGCCCAAAGTATATTTTTGCATTGAACAGCATTCTGAAAGAAAACAAATCACACAATAGTGTTTAGAAAGATGAATATGAACTACGAGAGACACAGTATGACATAGACGATAAAGACTACATGATCTTAGAGTTCTTTGGATCATTACTATTCAATAACAGTCAAGAAACGCTATGAAAATGAAAGTTTGGCACCGCAAGCGCAAGATGATAATAGCCAAATCTTGAGGTTGATCCTTGTCTAGACTCTTGCTTCTCTAAAAAAATCTGATTTAACCTGCAAAAATCAAATAATCAGGTCGGAAGACTGATAATACAACTGTTTGGGAATCGTGATGTTTGATATTAGACTTTTGCTCAAGTCAACAAGTTGATTGTTTCCAGGATGAAAGCTTAAATGACTTCTTGGGACCAAAGATTCACATGCTTGGTGAGAGATGAGAAGCCAACTGAAATGGCTGATGCCATTGCTAAGCTGGGTTGATTGCAGCAAAGCAAACCAGAGATCGTGTTGACAGAAAGGATTGGAATTGCCAATATTAATCCATTTTGAGCTTTTTGTTGAATGGCTTTATTGTGGACTCGTGCAGAGATTTGATACCTCCCCCGTCTATGTTCTTTCTTTGCATGTAAATATTACCTCCTTTAATGCGGGGTGGGGGAGGGAAAGACTCTTCTCAAAATTTGACTGGAGAAGGCTCTCCCCTTATATGGCTTGCGGGGATTCGTGCACCGAGCTGCCCTTTTTTATACAATTTTTGTAAAGTAAAATGAGTCCAGTGTATACATTAATAAAAACACAGATTGAACTTGGATGGGCCAGAGCCCCGTCCAATGTTGTCAAAGAGCACTATGAAGCATCTAGCAGATTGAGAACAGCCTATTGCCAAGATAGACATTGGCAGGGACGCTATAAAATCGTATTTTATTGCTATGATAATAATCTTAAATTCTTGAAAACATATCACTTAATATTTTACAATTACAAACTAACCTCAGCGAGCTTATTTCTCAGTTGCTGGGCGATGTGGTCTTGCTCCAAATTCAGAGCACACTGCAAGAAGATTGCATATTCAAGCTCAATACTTTTACTTTCTACACACAGAATACTACTAGGGCCTGGCTAGCGGTGATTAAACCACACAGCCACTTATTATAGTGATAAAGCAGTTTAGACCTGAACTCATGTTGCCAAATTCTGCTAGAAAAAGCACCAATATGTCCTCATTGTGCCTCTTTCTGTGCTCAATGCTAGCAGATTCTGACCGTCCCCTTCGAACAGCCATCCAGCTTCAACTCACCAATACCATCCTTGTGAAATATCAATATGTCTAATATTAAATATTCTTTTTCTATGTGAATAATGCCAACCACGTTGACATCCCACACCAAACACAGCCGGGCCCCGGGTGACCGGGTCTTCATTAAAATGCCAAAATACCTCTTTAAACCACAGTAACTTGATGTTGCTAAAGTGCTTATATATGTCCCTTGAACCATTATGCCACATCCTTACACCAAAAAGCACTATGAGTTCTCTTTACCTGAAATTAGTGCAGAGAAAATAAAACATAACGATATATCAATAATATAGCAACCAAACCCCATGGAAACTGGGAAAAGCAATATTTCATCACCCTGGATATAGGTTTTCTTATAATAATTTTTTTTATTATATCATCCACAATTTCAGTTTCCATCATTTGCAATGGAGCCAAAGGCTCACTATTTTTGGCTTGGTAATATGATAGAATAAAGTAAAATGGCTCACTACACTGTCTGCGCATTTTTGTTATGAAGCACCAGTCAGTCCATGTAATTTTTCGACACGATTTTCACTATGGGTCATCCGGAGCTTTTGCGGCACTGGGGTAATGATGATGATGATGTTCGTTCACAATTTCAAATTATTTCTACATCACTCAACCTATCCCTACAAGCTGAAACAACCCAATTTCTACCATGTGCGCCATTTCTCATCCTGTTCCCACGCTTATGTGCACCATTTCTCATCCCTTCGTTTCAACGGTCCTGAGGTAAATCGAAGAAAAACCTACTTAAAAAATATAAACAAAAAATTACACCAATAAATTCTATTAATATGTGAATACTCGCCAAACTAAATACAGAGTACAATATAATGTTTTCCCTCTTTTCTCATCAAAAACGGAATATGTTAAGAAACTTTTAAAATTAATGTTGTCAAGTGTTTTTGAGTGGAGAAGAAATCACACTTGGCAAGTTGTCATTAGGATTGCATTTCTTCGCTTAACACAAAACAAATAGTATTTTGAGTTAGAAATGACAGTTGATTCTATTGCAAGAATATGTACATAGTACATACTACATACATCATCAACTAAAACCGAATGAATCAGAATCACTAAATGAGACAATTAAATAAGTGTTCTTTTGAATAGATATTTGCTCATCCATATGTGGATCAACTCTACCTTCACATTCTCCAGACCATCTGCTACTATAATAATAATTACATTAAAGTAAAACACAAACACAAAAACAAGTCAATCAAGTAAATAAATAATTAGATAACAGGATGTGAAATCATTCAATCAATGAATAATCTGCAAATGCATACCAGCTCTAGCAAGTTAGCAAGTCCAGATCATCCGGTGGATGGAAAGCACTCCTATCCGTTTCAATCATACTATACCCATGGACCTTCCTAAGACCCGCACTATGCATTTTGGACCTAACACTCTTGCATTCCCTCCACTCCCCTCTCTCTGCATGTACATTACTTAATAATGTATAGCATCCACTATCCACAGTCTGTACATTCAAAAGGTTCTCCTGAATGTTTCTGATAATATCTGTTTTGTGGTGGATTCTACACCCATTTATGAGTGAACCCCAGATGCTAGCATCTACACGGCATGGCATTGATTTGATAATCTCATATGCTCCTTCTACATCACCTGCCCGACTAAGAAGATCCACTAGGCATGCGATGTGTTCGGTTTTTGGCTCAATACCAAAACCAAACATGGCCTTAAAATAATACTTTCCTTCGTTCACATACCCAGCATGACTACAAGCAGAGAGAATATTCATGAAAATCACATCATTTGGTCTTATTCCGGAATCTACCATTTCAGTAAAGAGTGATATTGCGGCAGTGATATGACCATGCATGCCATAACCGCCTATCATCGCGCTCCATGAGATTATACTTTTCTCTGCAATTCTCCCGAAGATTTGTTGAGCTGTTTGAAGGTCTCCACATTTAGCATACATGTCTGTCAGAGATGTGTTGATGTACAAATCGTCCTTTACTACACCAAAGATGATCAGCTTATGGTGAATCCATTTCCCCTTTTCAAGAAAACCTATGCTAGAGCATGCTTGAATTGCACTCAAGTAGGTCACCTCGCTCATTGGAAGTGAACCTGAAAACATTTCATCAAACAAAGCAATAGCCTCCTCAGATTTACCATTTTGGGAAAACCCACACATCATTGATGTCCAAGCCACAACTCCTCTGTCACTGATCTCCTCAAAGACGGCATAAGCCGAGCACAAAAGCCCGGATTTAGAGTACATCTCAATTAGTGCGTTCTGGACAAACTCATTTCCTGAAAATCCTGCCTTGATGACATGGCAATGCATCTGGCTCCCGGATTGAGAAAAACCGGTGTCTCCAAAACCTGAAATGACACTTCCAAGGGTAAAAGAGTCTGGAAGTATTGCCTTGCTTCTCATTTCCATGAATAGCATCAATGCCTCGATGCACATCCCTTCATTGGAGTAACTGGATATAAGCATATTCCATGAAATGATTTGTCGATGTTTCGATGTGTCAAATACCTTGTGGCAATCCCCTAGCCTTCTGCAACTGGCGTACAAGTCTACTAAAGCAGACCTCAGGGTGTCATTATTAGGATTAGAGTCTATAACATCATTTCTGATAAGATAGCCGTGAATGGTTTTCCCTTCCTTTAACAAACCTGATCTTGCACAAGCACACAAAATGCTCATCAAAGTCACTTCATTGGGCTCTACAGTTGACTGTTGCATTTCAACAAAGACGGATAATGCGTCACGATAATATCCGTTCTGATTAAAGCTGGAAATCATTGCTGTCCATGTGCAAGTGCTCTTATTGATAGAATGGCGAAAGAGTGACTCAGCATTACCTATTTCTCCACATTTCCCATACATTGCAATGAGGGAATTACTCAATGCCCCATCACTTGGGATGTTTTTTCTCAAAATATAAGCATGCACAGATTTTGCTATTTGACATAGACCCAACTCCCCACAGGCATCTGCTGCACTAAGCAGTGTAACTGAATCAATTCCAACACTTTCCTTCACCATTCCCCTGAATACATTCAAACCCTCCCCAGGCTGATCGTTATGTACGTAACAGGAAATGATCGAGCTCCACGAAACGGTATCTCTTATCAACATTCCATCGAACAGTCTCTGTGCATAGACTGCACTCCCCAGCTCGCCGTACATATTCAACAAAGAGGTCTCAACAATAGGATCAGACGCAAACCCAGTCATAATAATCCTCCCATGGACTTTTTGACCGACACCCAGTTCGGCAATTGCAGCGCAGGCCCTCAAAACAGAAGGGAATATGTAATCACTCATTTCAGGAAGCTGGGAAAGCATGGCGTCGTAGAGATAAATGGCTTCTTGAAAGCAGCAATTCCAGACATGGTTCTTGATCAGCACGCCCCACATGAAAGAATCGGGTTCGGGGAATAAGTCAAATATGGTTCTTGAAGTTGCAAGGGATCCCATTTTGGCATAGGACTCTATTAGCTTAGTGGAAGCTTGGGCTTCTTTGTGGAGACCTGTGATAATGAGGCGGGCATGGAGTTGAGTGAGTGATCTTGAGGTTGTGCAGGTTCTGAACAGCGGCATGTATAGTGTAGTCATTTCTGTTGTTCCAAACACTTGCAAACCCAGTCATGCTTTTTCTTGGAACGCATCATAAAATTGTACGAGATCTTAAAAACTAGTAGAATAGAATTTGTTTAAAATCCCAACAAAATCGTAATAAATTTTATCAGTGAAAATTGTTCAAATTTATTAAAATTAACTGCTACAAATCGATACTCCATCCATTCTCAAAAAATTTGTCAAATTGATTTTTTTTGTCAATAACAATCAACTTTGATCAATTATATTTTTTAATACGAAATTATTTAGAATTTGAAAATTATATTAAAATGTGTCTTATTCAAAATATTTTCATAAAAGTATAAAATTTATAAATTATATATAAATATAATAATTAAAATAATTTCCAAAGTTTGTCATCATTGACCAAGAAAAGTCAATATGGCAAACCTTTTCAGGAAGGAGGTACTACATAATTATAATAATAATAATATCAATAGTATATTTAAAAAAGTAGAGGATTCTTGTGTTATTTAATTTTTTATTTAATTTTACATATGTTTAATGTTATTATTCATTACATTTACATTATTAAAATAGTTTATAAGTCTTGTTTTGGACCTTGTAGGTATAGTTTTATGTAATGAAATGATATAATACCATTAACTTGCAGCTTATTATTAATATTTATTAATTTTATAATTATTAAGATATGTTTCATAAAATCTTACGATTTGCGATTCGGTTTTACGATCCGATTTTCAAAAACATCTACCGATTCAATTCAAAAAATGACTAGAGGTAAAGAAACATGAAAAATGTTTGGTGTATCTACACATTTTGGTGTACACCTTTCGTACACTTGTCTGACTTGCACACACAGAGATGTCTATACACAGACAACCCTACAATCTTATATACAGACAACTCTGTGTACGCAAGATAGACAAGTCTACGAAACATGTACATCAAAATATGTACAATAAGCACGGCTCAAAGAAACATGTGTAGGTTAGGTTGTTTTTACTTGGACTGTAATTCATCCCATACCAGACCAGATCAGACAGGACCAGACCAAAACAGACCATACCAGACCAGACTAAAACAGACCAGACCAGACCAGACCATACCATATTACATTATTATTATTATTATTATTATTATTATTATTGTTGTTGTTGTTGTTGTTGTTGTTGTAACATCGTCCCCAATTATATTTACTTTTATGTAAATAATGTATTGAACCTTATGAAATGGTTAATGAATTTACGGGGTTGTAAATTTTGTTGTTACTTTTGCGTGAATAGTAAATTGCACGTGGGGCCCACATCGGGAGCGGGGACCATATGGGTTGAGAACGTGTGATATATTTTATTTGGCCCGATAAAATAAAAATGTAATTAAAACAGTCCGAGAAATATAACTTTCGGGGTCGATTGTACAGTTCGAGACACAAATGGATGACCTCCCACGTGAGTGGGGGCCACCCCACGTTTTTGAGAGCTCAAACATGACAAATGGGGGCTGCACAACAGGGGTTGTGAGGTGTGTGTGGGCTGAGGGTGATGTTTGGGTGAGAGTTGACCTAAAGTGAGCCTCTCTCCTCACTGATTGGCCATTTGAGACAAAAGAAGTCTCCTCACTCCCTCCTCCATTGTCTTGTACGTCCAACTCACCCCAAGGAAGAAGAGTACCTCTGCAAACACCATACTACATAGCTAAATTCGGACTCAAGCTCAAGGGAGGCAAAGAAGGAGGTTTAAAGAGGAAAACAGGAGGAAAAAGTGTTGTGATTAAAGTAATGACCTTATAATAACTTTTCCTCTACTTTTTATTTATCATATGGCTTATATAGCATATGGAGGACCCATAGAATTGTTCTACATGTTTAGGAGTGTAGAATGAGGGATTGGAAGGTAGTTCTAAGTCCAAGAACGGACTTAGAAGCCAAAGTGACCGGTTCACCGGAAAACAACCTTTTAGAGGTTATTTGTATTGATATGAGTTTTATGATGATAAAACCTTGTTAGGAACTTGTCTAGGGTGTTCCTAGATCTTTCAAGGAGTTGAAAGGGTCGCCGGAGTAATCGCCGGAGCTAGACAAAGTTCGCCGGAGTTTCACCGGAGTTCAACCGAGAAGGGTAGATCTTCATCAAGCTCATTCGAGGTGAGTGGATGGCTTAATGTCTTGTAACTCTTGGGTTAAGTATAGGATTACCTAAAGAAATGTTATAAGTATTCATAATGATGTTTAAAGGAACTTAAGCATGGGTTTAGTCAAAGTTATTTGGCTTATGTGAATGATATTACATGATTTTGCTTGTGAAAAGTATAAAATGTGTATAAAAACATATGTGATGTTTTGGATGGTTAAAATGGGATATTTGGGTTGTTTAAGATCCAATACATGTTGTATAAAAGTTTCGGATCGATCGGTAATCATCTGGAGGGTCAACGGACCGCCACCGTTGGGCAGACGGTAACCCGGCGCCGGCCATAGGGTTGAACCGGCGCCGGTTAAGCTACTGCCCAGCCGGTCTGGGAATTTTAACACAGAACCGGCGCCGGGTATAGGGGTAACCGGCGCCGGTTAAGCTGCTGCCCGAATTTTTGATTCGCCGAAAATGCGTATCGAGACCCGGTTTGAGGATCAACCCCGGCCATCCTATGTAAGTATATTGTGCATGGAATTGCATGGAATGTGATATTTAATTGCCAAGTTTGATATCTATTGATTAAGCTCTAAGGCTTGGTTTAGTCTTGATAAATAGTTATGATATAGGCCCTATCTAGATTGATATGAGGTAGATCATAGGGATACATATGGTGGAGGACCCAAGGACTAAAGAGTCTTTAAAACTTATATGCATATGCTGGAGAACCCAAGGACTAAAGAGTCCTCAAAACTCAGAATATATATTTCGGTGGAGAACCCAAGGTCTAAAGAGTCCTCAAAACTTATATGCATATTGTGGAGAACTCAGGGACCAAAGAGTCATCAAAACTCATATGTACATCGGTGGAGGACCCAAGGGCTAAAGAGTCCTCAAAACTCATGGTGGAGGACCCAAGGACTATAATGTCCTCAAAACTCATAGGTAAAATGGTGGAGGACCCAAGGACTCAAATGCCCTCAAAACTCATGGTGGAGGACCCAAGGACTTTAATGTCCTCAAAACTCATATATATAAATGGTGAAGAACCAAGGACGACGGTACTGTCCTCAAAGCTGAGAATATGAATTGATTAGAACCAGGAGGAGTCCTATACACTCATAGGTCTATGGGTGGGTTGGGATTTGAGTCAAGGATATTGACTACTACTATTTTCCCAAATAAACAATGACCTACGGGTCAGGTATTTCCAAGTAGATTGATGGAGTATATGGCTCAAGGACCCCCGACTCACATACTTCCTCTACTACAATCAGGCCCAACAGGCCCAAACGGGCCAAGCCCAGAAAAATGGAGCTCTAAGCAGCCCACAATACGCAAAGGGGGGGCCTTCGGCCCCATGGCCGAAGGCTACCAGTGACGGAATCGAGCTCAGAAACATCACAAGAGAATAAGGCTTGAAAACCAAGCCTTCGGCACCTACAGCCCTCGGCAGGTAGGAGCCCTCGGTTAGAAGAGGCATCACAGGAGAACAAGGCTTGAAAACCAAGCCTTCGGCACCTGCAGCCCTCGGCAGGTAGGAGCCCTCAGTTAGGAGAGCCTTCGGCCCAGCACCCTTCAGCCGAAGGCATCCACCTCGACAGAATATCCTCTTCACATGCGCCTGGATCACCGTACCAAGTACAAACGTCACATCCAACCACCGCATTTAATGCGGCCACATGCGAGTGCCAGTGCCACCCCGGTCGAGGTGACCCCTCGACCACCAGAAAACTGACACGTGTCCTTATCTAGCATTTATTACTACTATAAATAGCACCCCTTTCCTTCATTGTAAACCACGCTTAATACATATCGAATATACACTCTCTCTCTCTTACTTATTTGCTCTGACTTCTCTCTAGTTATTCTCCGCAATAACCCCTCGGATAAGCTACCCCCGGGTACACTATCCATCATTTGGTGCTTTCATTGAGAGGTCGAACGATCAAGTAAGAAACCCTTCCCCTTCGCCAAACACTAGCCCTCTACCAAAATGGTGAGAACAACACGTGCCAACTCCAAAAACGTAGAAGACAAGAACCTGGCCCTCGGCGACGTCAACGCCCCCGAAGCCTCTCACAAGGCTCCCGAGGGCGGTGTCATCGCTGGGCTGGAACAGGCGGCCGTCGACCTACGCCTTCAGATCCAGCAGAATGCCCCCGATGCCCGCCTCGGCATCGAGGCGAAGAAGAAAAACCGGAGCGATGACCAAGTCAGCCCTCCGGTCCTCACCATCGACGTTCATTCGGCACTCTCCGCCTTCATCCAGACGCTAACTCAGAACCCGGGTGCCTTCGGCACCCTGGCTCCGGCTCAACCCCAGGTTGGGGAGAACATCGTACTTCCCCCTCTGCCACACCCCTTCGGAAACCCCATCCCTCGGGTTAGGAATGACGAAGGGGTAGTGGCCCAACACACGGCCTCCCAGGAAGTTCAGTCCCGGGACCGCCACAATGACAACAGAGAAAGGCCCCGCACTTCCGCCCTCAACCGGCTCGGAGGGGGGCAAGACCGCCGAGGGCCCCAAGAAAGCGGAGGGTCTGTCTCGAGGGCAGACGAGGAGCGTCCCCCTCGGGACAAAGGCAAGGCACCCCTTCATGCCGACGATGCTCGCCACCAGATCAACCAGGCCCACTCGGCCCGGGTTCGTTCGCAGGGGCCGGAGACCCTCCCGAAGGACCCCCGGGACGAAATTATTGCGGCCCTCCAACACCGACTTGATGAAATGGAGGCCGACAAAGCTCACGCCACCACCTCCACCCCTCATTCAGACCTCAAATACGAGGCCATGATGGCCAAAATGGAGGAATTACAGAAGAAGGTAGCCGAGGGCTCCGGGGAACCCATCATCCAGCTCCGGACCCGGACGCCATTCACCCCAAGGGTATTGGCGGCCCAA